TAATTTTTCAATTTGTAAAAAAGATTGCTACTATATTGCATATAATTCTCTTATATATATATATATATATATATCCATGGCTCTATGTGCGTATACAATCACCACTTATTCTTTGTTGATCTAAACGATATAACAGCAAACAATTAAAAGTAGACTATTAAATAAATAAACTATAAGTAATAAATAAATAAATCTATAAATAAATAAATAAATAAACTCAAAAATTTACTTGCTTATGAATTATAATGAACTTAAAATCCAATGCTGAATTTGGGTATTTCTTCGGATTCGCAAAATAAAAAAATAAAATGTAGAACAATTTTTGAACGATCGAAATTACAATTATCAAAATTATAATGAATATCATTTTTAGTACTTATTGTTATAATTTCAATCATCCAAGAGTTGTTTTATATTTTATTTTTACATTCCATAGATTCAAAGAAAATATCCTAGCATTAAATTTAAGTCCATCATAATCCATAAAGAAATAATTTTTTAATTGATCTATCTGTTATATTTTGAACGCTATATAATATTTTATAGAAATAATAAAAATAATAGATTGTGAAAAATCATAAGCTTATATCTACATAACCATAAATATATATGTATAAAAATATGAAATATTAACTATTTTCTCGCAAATATTTCAAAAATTAAATTCGAATTGGAATATATAATATATAAAGAAAAAAAATTATTCAAAATTTTATCCTGTCCTATTCCAAATAATTATTAATATATTTTAATATATATTTTACTAGAATATTAAAGCTACATTAATTTTATATATGAATATAAATGAAAATTAATATAAAACGTTAAATATGAAATATTAGATATAGAAACTTTGGATAATTCACACTTTAAAAGATTACAAAAAATAATCCATTAAAATTTTTATAAATATTATTCGACATCAGAAAAATCATACTCTCTCATGATATCAGAACTTTTCAATTAAATTTTTAGGAAAATAAATTGCAAATACTTGCTAGATATTAAGATAATAAAATAGTTGTTGTATTAAGATAAAATGATATCATAGAATAACATGCGGGAATTGCAGGATTTTTGTTACTTCAACTATGAAAAAAAATGAATAATACAATACCAATAAGCACATAGGAAATCTACATTATAAAATACTGTTTCTAAGTACTACTTATTAGCTTAAGTGATGCTAGCAGATTTCATTTGGTTAAAAATTTTTATCTTTTTTCTGTATCAATGATTTTGAAATTCTATATTAACTTTCATAAGAAAGATTGAATGGGTGCAGCAAAAAACATACCACAATCAAAATACAGAAAATAACCTAAAATCTTACAGAATTTTTTATTTCATATTGTAAAATACTGATTGCTTAAAAGAAGTGTTAAATAGTATACTATGATTTAAAATAGCAAATACAAAAATTATATTTAGTACAACCATATTATACAAATTAGAAAAAAAAAATGAAAAGAAAAATATAAGTACAGATATTTTTTTCCAAAAGAAGTAACTTGTTCAGGATAAATTTTTTCTTACTAAGTAGATATATTAATTTGATAATATTATTATTAATATCTAATTTCTAAAAAATTGAATTTTATTTTTTATGAAAAATAATTTTTTTGATTTTTAATAAATTAAAGAAATAAATTTTTTTAACTTCTCTATTATAATATATGCAAGCACAATTTCTGAATTTTTTTTAAAAAATTATACGTAAAAGATAAATAGATTTAATATAAAAAATTTCTTAATAACTTTATTTAATCATAAAATAT